ACGCTCGAAAAAGCGAGTATTCAGTGTGGGCGGGGGATCGGTGGGATACGGCGGGCGTTCATGTATTTAAGCGCGACTCTGTCCATCGTTAGTGGTCTACGCTGGTTTTTTTTCATACGAGCCCTCTCTCTATCTGGCGATGCACAACATACGCGAAATGCCGCAGGTATTTTCCATCCCCGCCCCGTAACATTTTTTTCAATGGCAGTTAGCGCCAGTCTGCTCGCCGCCAAGTAGCTTTAATATCCTTCTTTCATAGATTCGCGAGCATCTCGCCAGAAGCGACCAGAGAGGGTGAGATTCTTATTTCCCTGTCTGTTCTAATTGTTTTTATTTTGATGAATTATTAATAGAGAGAGAGAGAGCATTGTTGCTTTTTAATTGAATGATATTTTTTTTAAGAAAACTAATTCTTTTATGAACTTTTTTGGCCAATCTTTTCTTAATAATTTATTATCTTTGTAATAATTATTTTATTTTTACAGATCGTTTTGATTTTCTCAAACGTGGCAGTTTTGTAAATGTATATATATGTGTATGTATGTATGTACGTACATGAAATAACGTAAACTTATTTTAGTTGATAGCAGGTGCACGAAGGTTAATTAAAGAACTTCCACTATGTTATCGTATTTCCTCTCCCTTAATTGAAATTCTATATTGTTGTATTGTTATATAACAAGGATAATTAACCATTGGAAAATTTGAGCTTACGTATAATTAAGTTTTCATTCCTAGAAAATTTGAAATTGAGATAAATTTATTCCTTTCGGTTCGAAAAGGAAATTGATTCCTTCTTTCTACTCGAAGCAAATATTTAAATTGTTATAATTATTTCGTTCGGTATATTAGGTACTTTTATCGCGTAAAAAAATTTTTTAACACGATAACTTCAGCTTGAAGATCTCACTTATTCTCGAAAGTTTAATTCACGCAACGTTCTTATCTCGAAGCAATTTTCTGAAGTTTAATTTTTTTTCTTATATCTCAGCATATTTGGCTTTAGGGAGATACATATCCATGGTAACGCAGAAAGTGGAGACGCAACGCCTCGTGGATGAATTTTTGACACGGTTCGCGATCATCTTTTCACGTATTTCCCGATTCTAAGAGTCTAAGCATAGTTTACAACATTTTTCACGACATATTTTTAAATTCCCTTGAGAACACATACTCACGGATAGATTTCGATTACTGGGCTTGAATTTCTTTCCCATTCATCTTGCCATTGAATCGAACGATTTCAAGCATCGTAATTTACTCGTAATATCATTCCACGTAGACGATATCGCTTTATTACATTTATTTCGTATCGAGTTTCTCATTGACCACGTTTCCCCGCTATCTCGTACAACGCGTGTCGAATGAAATTTAGAAAATTGATGCTGATTACGAAACTTATAACATATAAAAGGAACGTTTATATAATTCATATAAATCATGAATTTTAAATGCACATACTTAATAATACAATTTATAATTACATCATATTTATAATATCCCACAATTTTTCCTTTGCTCGTTGTTTTATCACAAGTTTATATACACACATTTTTCTTAAAAAGAAGAAAAGAAAGAGAATAACATTTTATCCAACACGTTTCTTCTTTTAAATTTGCCGCAAGATTCAACCGATAATTCCGATCGCAAAATAATTATCCATAAAATAAAGAAGAAACTACTTTTCGATATACCTGCAAACATGCTTCCACACATATAAAAGATTCTACTTCATACGTTAATACTTTCGATTTAACCTATCGCTATACATATTTCTCTCTTGCTCGCAATCAGCCCGATACCGCGTCTCTATCTTCGTCCTGTCACCCTATGCCTCTCCTCTTTCCCATCCAATTCCCGCCCCGTAACATGCACACAGGGTTCCAAGTCTCTCATTCTCATTCTCTCACTCGGTTTCCGCCTGACTCACGTACACACGCGCACGTTATAAAATGCTCGTTATAGTTGGCCACGGTGCTCGCGGCGCACGGGGTGAGGAATTTAATTTAGAACTTGATTTATATTTTAGCGGGCCATAAAATGGGGAAATAATTTGTCCCCTGCACGCGTATGAGATGGGCTTCCCTCTCCGCTGTACTCGCCTCGCCCTCTCGTTCCAACCCATCTTTCTCACTTCCTCTCTCTCTCTCTCTCTCTCTCCCTCTTCGTCGTTATTCCGTCTTCTCCTCGCCTGTCCTCCTCGTGCCCTTTGCGCAAAGGCCACGAGTCGACGTGCACGTACATTACGTCAAGGTAGGCAAGGCTTGCACGCGAGAAACTTTTCTATTTCCGCGTCGAATTTAGAACGTTGGATCGTTCAAGGTTGTTTTTTGTTAAACGATGATTCTCCATAACGGTATTATCAAGCACATACAATCGAAAAATCGATCCTTTTAATGCATGCATCGAGGTTATCGCAGGGTTTCTGTTGCTCTATTAGAGGGTTTTTCGTTTCTTTTTTCGAGGGAGAAACGATACGATGCGAAGGCTCCTCTTCCCTTTGACGAATCGATGCGCCGTGTTTTCGCGACATGGAAAGATTCGGGGGTTCTCGTGATGCACAGTTCGAAGGGGGTAATTTTTAAAAGTTTTTATGGCGGTTTAGTGGTAGTATTTTGTACTCTGGATATGGTACTCTGTTCAACAATTGTTTGATAATAATTTTTCGAAAGAAGATTTCTTTTCGATATTACGCGTTGTTGTATGATTACAGAGAGTAGGCGTGTTTAATCGGAATTATGTACGATGTATGGATTGAAATTCTGTACAATTTGAAATATGACCATTCGAAATTGAAACAATGGGGCTACTTTAAATTATTAAATTATATTACACGATGGTTTGTTTAAAATAAAAATTAGTTAAACGATTGCCTTGATATCGTTTGAAAAATTAGTGTCAAGAATGTTAAGGTTAAAAAGAATGGAATTAGTACCTGTTGCTTGCTAACGCAATTTTCTCGAACATCATCGTTTTTCTGGTTCTATAATATAATTTCATTGCCATATAAATAAAACAAAATGAAAAAAAAGAAACGATAAGAAAGTAACAGACTGTAATATCATATAAAGTATTACCACTGAAAGTTAATAAAATTAATAAGATAGACGTGTTCATTTTGCAACAACAAACGATATCTTCTTAAAAAGAAAAAGAAAAAAATCTCGTTCAAACCGCAAGATATACTCGATGATATAAACGAAACAGTGTTAAAACAGTGGAACGATTCTTCCATTCCTGGGTGTAATCTTCTCTAAAGCGTAGTGTTCCTTAACCTCCGCTGAATATCAAGTTTCAAAACCATCCCCGGCTCACGGAATCCTGGAATTCTTAAAAACTGGAAACTTCTTTGCGCCAAGATAGTTGAAATCACCGGCCACGTTGCTCCAACGTTGTAATTAAACAGCATGCGATTTTCTTTGCTTCGTTCGGTCGAAAGGGGATAGTGAAATAAGAAGAAGGATGCAGAGACAAAGGGATGCAGAGAAGAAGGGTGAAGAAGGAGTACGAATGCGATGCTCTACTGGGGTGAGGGTGCAAAGATATTTACGACTTCGAAAGAGGGAAAGGGATGCTTTGGAAAGGAAGGATGGAGAGAGGGGTTTGGATGCCGGATCTTTCCATCCTCACGAGACCATTTCGTGAGGGATTCATTAAGATAGAACGAAGGTGTTAATATAATGAACATTGTCGGCAGAACTCGGTGTGTGTGTACCACTTTGCTCCTCATAAGGTAGGGATCTCAGCCATGCTCTCTTTATTTCATACGACCTGAGGAATAGAAGGGACGAGAAACGAATATAAGGAGAGGATTACCGAATGAAGAGACGAGATATTATATTTTATAGTAAGGGAAAAGGTATGGAGTTAAAATATTGAATTTATTTATAGTTTTTAGTTGGAGTTTATTATTTTAGAGTTTTTATAATTCTTCGTTTGAGATATGACGAGTAAATTTTAATTCTTAATTCTTTTTTAGAAATAAATGGGAATTTTTAGATTTTTATTTAAAAATTTTCGACATTGTGTCATAAAATTATACACGTGAAAATGTCAAAGTTTGTTTGAAGATGAAATTTCATATTTATTTTATTTCTATGTTTTCTCATGCGTAGGATATATTTTTATTATATTTTATTTTATTTTTTTTAAAGCATAAAGTTGTCTCCAAGATATGTACAAGATATATCAAAAGAGGATACATTTATTCTTTATATATATATTTGTGAGCAGTATACTTTATTTATACATGCTCTCTTTTTATCCATTTAAAATTGGTATTTCTCTATGATATTTTATTACATCTTTCTCGTTGATACGATAGAAAGCTGGACTTCGTTTATTGCACATATAGTAAGCAGGTCAACGAGAACTTATCAAACAATAGAATATAAAACAAACTCTTATACCATAATATCCCTTTTTTTATATCTTCTTTTATTAGATTTTACACACATTGAAAATATAGATGAAACTATATGACGAAACGTACGTAACAAATATAGTTATACGTAAATAAATAAATGAATAAATAAAATCGTTTTAATTCTATACAAATTTTAATTCCACACAATATCGAATATAATAAAGACGTTGAAAGATAATTTCTCATTGGTCTAAGTTTCATTAATTTGTAACAAAGATGACAGAAAGTTTGAGAACGTTCTTAATCCAATTTTATTAAAAAAAAAAAAAAATTTTTAATCATACGTGGTACATGTAGTCAGGGATGGAAGGAACACGGATGAAACAGATATCGATTGCGTTTTTTCACGGTTCAGTGGCGCCAAAGGTCACGAATATTTTACAGCACGCCAATTCATTTACATTTGGTGTGCTGTAGATAAAATATTCGTGACCTTTGTGCGGCGAATTAGTTACCACCGCAATTCCGTTCATGAAGTATTGAACGAGCAGGTACCGATAATGGCACGGCTGGTGCACGATCAAAGAACATCGAACATCGATTTTGCCCAGGCGAAAAGAGCCGGCGTTGCTCTGGAAATTTCACGTTAGTTAGACGTAAACGAGCCGTTTCCACCCCTTTCCTATGGCTCCAATCCCTCCATCCTTTCTCGAGCAAAAGGATGATGCGAGTCTTTCGATTATCTGGAAAATTTTTCTATATAGTGAGCCTCCAACGGTGTCGCCATCTTGATTATGAATTATCTTTTAATTCTTCCTCGCGAAAGAAAGATCTCTAAAAAATCGAGAGATAGAAATTTACTTTAATCATTTAGTTTGTTTCGAATTTAGAAATTATTGTGTATACTTCAGTAAGATGTTCTTTAAATTATTTATTAATATCGTTCGATAGGTAATTTAATTAAACGTTCGATTTTATCCTACTTACTTTCGTGCAATTATGGTGGTCATTAATAACGTTGAAAATGAACGTCTGAACGTACAAACAAACTTGCGTCGAGTCGAATTGTTTGAAATGGTTAACCTCTTCTCCGAGAAACGACGGAATAGACAGAAGTCATTAGTTCCTTTTGCTTCGTATTGATCCAATTTTGGAGCAGATGATTTTCTATTGAAACTAAATTATTCAAAATTTTCTAACAATTTTTTCAGAATCATTAAAAAAAGAAATAATTGTTTGGGATTATTTCACGAAATCTTTGTTGCTGTGAAAAGAAAGAAATATGGTATAGATACCGTTTATCTAAATAAAGAGCTTTAATTTCCAATTGTTCCATACAAATACTTTGTGAAAGTATTTGAATCCTTGTGTTAAACAATTTCACTTTATCGATTGCGCGTCAAGACAAACACGAAACATGATATCGAACTGCAAGTCACATGAATGCATCGTAATCAACGTTGACGAGTTCCCTTCGCGCAACTTCTCTGTTTGCACACGTCAGGAGAAGTCTCAATTGCAAGCAGTTAGATCGAAATAGCTGGACGATGTTAATCCTAATTTCTATCCGGCAGTCTCGTACCTTCGATAGAATTAAGCGTAGAAATCCGTACGTAGAACTGCTGATAACTTGATCCAATGTTCTTATTTCGAATGATTAAATATTTAAATAAATATTAAATAAAAATGATTATTTTTCTTTATAGTATTATTTAATTGGAAAATGAGAAATAATAAAGAAATTTAATCGTTTAAAATCCCAAATTTCAATAGAAATTTTGTTTCGCGTGTAATTTTCGAATTAAAACTTTTTAATGTCCAATATTGATTAAATTTTTCGCGTGTATAAATAAATATATTCTATATTTAAAAGTTTAGAAAACTTAATTATGGAAAAATTGCGGCAATTTTGTAATTATAAAACGTTACAAAAAAAAGAGAGACATATATAGTATTTCAAAATTTTAAAAATACAATAATGATTATTTCAATTTAAAATACTTTTGAATAAATCTGTTAAAAATAAATCAGATTTATGTCAAAAGTATAAAATAGAAATATTCATATCTGCTAATATTTTTACATTACAATCGAATTAATAAAGAGTAAATTCCAGAATTTTATTTTATTCACACCATCGAAACAATAGACGTTCACCACATCGCAATAACAATTCCTCTTTTCACGGGATTTATTATAAATATTGCATACTTCCACAATGCAAAATCCGCCAAAATAATACAAATAAATACAAATTACTTCATCCATAATTAATCCCCTCTTTGTCGGATCTTTGCACAACAAATCTCTCTCTCCATCGCGCTTTGTTCGAACTCGAGCGAGATCGAGTATTCATTTTCATTCGTTGTATCGAAAAAAAAAAAAAGAAAAAAGAAGTGATATAAAGCAATACCCTGACAAATCGTTACACGGAAAGTCACCGAAAACGGATTAGGTGCGATAAACACAGGAAGAGGAAGCGAGAGAGGATGATGCTCCGGGGTTGAGCTTCGTACAAGGGCGTCGTGTGTCACCGACGTGCAACAAGTTGCCTTCCTCGGATCCTATCCCCTCGCGCCCTCTCTTCCGTCACCCTCTCTGCAAGCCAACCCAGGTCACATTAAATCATTTTTAAACGTCCTCACGCTCGCTGTCTGACTTCTATTTGACCGATACAGACCGCACTTTGACGTGCACCCCTTCTCCCATTTTCATCCCTCGTTGCTCTTCCCCCTTTGTTCGACCGAGTTGGAAACTATGGATCCTCGATCCACGAGGATCGATGGTTTCTATGCGAAATATTTTTTTATATACAGAATTTCTATTTCATTTTTCATCGGTGATCCACTTTTTTTTTTTCCTTCTTTTTCCTTCTCTTTTGATTTGGTTTGTTAGTTATTGTGATATTTTTTTTTTTCGTTGTTTTTTCTTTGTTTTTTTTTGTACGTTGAGCAAGATCAAAATTAAAAGTTTTTTTAAATGGAAGGTTGTAAAGTCGATCAGGATTACAGTTGAAGTAAAATGGGAGAATTGAAATTTTATTGGAAAAATATTTTTTTGAAAATATTGAAATACGAAATAATTTTTATTATTCTTATTGGAAATGTTGTTTATTTAAAGTTTATTTATATCATGTAAAAAGTTTGATTAGCAGTTTATTAGTAATTAAATATGAGATGGACAGTTGTCAAGATGACAGTGTATATATATATATAT